AAAACTAAAACAAAAAGATCATGTTCATGGAGGTTTCCCAAAACACACAACACTACTTCTTTTGTTTATATTTCTCATGATCCTTAAAGTAATCTGAGTTTTGTGTTTTTATCTTAAATTCAATGTAGTTTCCCAATGTAGTAATAGCAATAGCAAGTACATTTCTATACTGCTTATCAGTGCACTTAAGCACTCCCTAAGTGGTTTACAATGTGTAAGTTAATTGCCCCCCAACAGTTGGGTACTCATTTTAGTGACCTCGGAAGGATGCAAGGCTGAGTTGACCCTGAGCCCCTGGTTGGGATTGAACTCACAACCTTGTGGTTTGTGAGTGAGTGGCTGCAGTATAGGCATTTAAATACTGTGCCACCAGGGCTCTTATTATTCTGTTTCCTGGGGGGGGGGGTATTGGTGATTATCACACCCTGGGGTTCTTTGTAATGGTTTCAGTAGGTGTATATGATGACAAAGTTGGGTGTGGAGGCAGGAACAGTTAGTTTCCACAAAGAGAGGAGAAATAGAATGAAATAGCCAGGTAAACAAAATAATAAAAATCTAAACAAAATATTGAAATTAAAGCATAGGTATTAAGAGGCAGTAAAGGACAGAGAATGCTTATTACATGGAAAATAGGTTAAGATGATATTAATGGAATGAATGAAGGAGAGACACATTTCCCAGAAGAAAGATGAATTAAGAGTGCCCCAAGCATAAGTGAGCCACCATTTTGCAGTTCACAATGGAAAGGCATCAGGAACTAAGCTTATAAATTTGTCCTTCCCCATCCACGGTCTGGCTCTTCACGAGAGAGACAAGCTGCTATAGAAAAAATGGCAGCACACGCCTGTGTGTGGCTCCATGCATGTGCTGCAGGTGTTCACACCATTATTGTCAATGGGGCTCGAATATTTGCAAGCTGCCATTTTCGCAGGGGTGTGTTGGTCCGGAACCGATCCCCCATGAATTGGGAAGGGCAACTGTAAAGTGATAATAACCAACAATTGTGCACTAGGCTCAAGTATTTTTCAAAGAAGTGTTAGGGGGGTTGCAGACTTCCAGAAATAGTGCAAATTGAGTCCACGTTAAGGGTTAGGGTTAGTGCTAGGGAATCATGGGAATTGTTTTTTTTTTCTTGAGACATTGAGCCTATCAGAGAACTCTGGTACCACAATAAAATACAGTTCCCATGATTCCCTAACCCTAACCCTAAAAGTGGACTCAATTTGCACTATTTCTGGCAGTCTGCAACCCCCCTTAGTCTCTTGCAGCATAAAAAGGAGGAAGAAAGGGAGGGATGAAAAGAAAGAAAGAAATGTGTCACTACCTTTAAGACTAACTGGTTTCATTTTCACATGAGCTTTCATGGATATAAACCCACTTCTTCATCCATTTCACTCTATATGCTTCACTCTGTATCAAATCTGAAGAAGTGGGTTTGTATCCACAAAAGGTAGAGATAAAGGCATTCCCCGTTGACAAGGTTGCTGTGTCCAACCATAGGGGTCAGTGCTCATCTCTGTTCCTAAGCCAAAGAGCCAGTGTTGTCAGAGACTACTCTGTGATCATGTGGCCAGCATGATTGCATAGAATGCTGTTTACCTTCCCACCGAAGTGGTGCCTATTTTATCTACTTGCATTTGCATGCTTTCAAACTGCTGGGTTGTCAGAAGCTGGGACTAATGAGAGGAGCGCACTCCATTATGCAGCACCTGGGCCTCGGACTGCCTGTCTGCCGATCTTGCAATCAACAGATTGTTATATCCACAAAAGCTCATGTGAAAATAAAAACCAGTTAGTCTTATTTCTCCCCCCTGCCTCCTTCCCCTTCTTTCTTTCTTTTTAGGCTTAAGTAGTTACTTATTCTAAATAATGCGTTTTACAGGATCTCGTAACTGATAACATGATCCTTACAATTATAGTATCACTTAAAAAAGAAGATGTGAGATGCAATCTTCAGGGAAATCAGTATCAAAAGGCCCTGTCTACATTATATACTTTCTGCCAAATTTCCCAAGGTGACATACATAACAACAACAAAAAAGTACCGTATTTTCCGGCGTATAAGATGACCCGGTGTATAAGACGGCCCCCCATTTTTCCAGTCAAAATATAGAGTTTTAGCACATCTATCCTCCTTATCCTTATACCCGGCGTATAAGACGACTCCCCCACTTTAACCACAGATTTTGCAGGTTAAAAAGTAGTCTTATACGCAGGAAAATAAGTAACAATAAAACCATTGATAAAGAAACAAAGAGATAATTCCAAAGTCATTAAATACCCATGTAAATACTCATAAATAGTAGAACAATAACAACAAAAAACAGCAATTAATCCATTACAAGTCTTACTAAAAAGAAAGATTTTAATCTGGTGTCTGTTAATGTCCCAAGGCAAAGTGTGAAACATGATTCCCAACACCCAGTCACTAGAATGGGAATTGATTTTCTCAGCAACAATATGAGCTATCCTTGTTGTAATCCAAAGTATTGTAGGGAGGACTATCTCCTTATTCATGAAGAAGTCCTTATTTATCAGATGGCTGGATAACATGAGCTTTGGACTAGGACTCTAGAGACAAGGGTTTGAATCCTGGTTTGGCCATGTTAGCTCACAGGGTGACCTTGGGCAAGTCACACTCTCTCAGCCTCAGGGATGGCAAAGGCAGCCACCCTTTGATGAAACTTACTAAGAAAAACCCATGATAGGTTTGCCTTAGGATTGCCATTACTTGAGGACACAAACCAACAACAGCAAAGATATCATCAGAATATGGATGAATATGCTTGGGATGTCTGTCTAGAAGGGATTGTAATTGGTCCCATAGTCCAAACTGGGGAGAAAACCTTTCAGCCACAGGTGATGCTGTATCCATGGATGGGTTGTGTAGTATGTCCGTTTATGCAGTGTCTATAGGTAAGAGCTGGGATGCTAGATACACTCTGTGTGTGTGTGTGTGTGTGCATGCCTTTAAGTCACCTGTTGACTTATGGCAACCCTATGAATTTCATAGGGTTTTCCATAGGCAAGAATACTCAAGAGGTGATTTTGCCAGTTCCTTCCTCTGAAATCCTGCAGAAGCATCTCCCTAGCATGTGAGTGTCCTGTTCTGTGCTTCTTTTCCCCTGGAGAAAGACAAAATAAAAAAGAACTGGAAAATGTCAGGGAGCTGGCCTTTGGAGGCAGAGTTTTGGGGGCCAGAGGTCTTCCTCCTTAACATCTGCCTCTCTGGACTAGTCCCAAGAGACAATTTGGTCCTTTGGAACTTTTCCTGTTTCCTACCCCAGCCTTAGTGGCATTATTCTTTGCACAAAGCAATAATTTCAGTGTCTTTTGACAATATTTTGACGTTATTGTAATCTTTATTTATTGTACTAATCATGAATTCACTTCTCAGTGTGGATCCTTAGCTGAAATACACGAGAGGGAAATATCAGCAGGCTTGGTAGAAATATTTTGCAGAAGTACAAAGAAATATTTGGGAGAGGAATGGGATACAGATGCTTCATGAAGACTGAGCACACGTGGAAATACAGAATGCTGACTGGTTTTGGTAGAGAAAGAAAGAAAATGGATGCTTCTTAAAACTATCTGACCTTACCTTTCCATTTCCTTCCTTCCTTCCTCATTCTTTCCAACCTCTCTCTCAAACCAATCTTCCTTTTTCACTTCTCTCCATCCTTCCATCTCTCCCAGTCATTTTTGACTTATGGCGACCCTTAAAGGCAAACCTATCACAAGCGTTTTCTCTCT